TTTTTTATTTATCTTTTATCATTCTTTTATTAGATTTTTTAATTTGTTTTAAAAAATTAGATAGTATTGAATATTATATAAATTCCATGCACTAATAGTGACATAATCAGTAAATACGACGGTTTTTCTTTACACTTTATGAATTCAATTATCGTTAATTATCAGTAGTAACTAAACTACTGTTGGTGATCGGTGACAGATGATAATGGATACCACTTGCTTTAAAAATACAATAAGGAAAAAGTGGAACAATATTAAACTTAGTCCCAAGGCAAAAAATATAATCACCAATATGTTTATTAAATAATTATAATGATTGTAAAATACAGGATTTTGCAAAAGTGTTAATCAATAGTGAGTTAATATGAAATATTATTAGTTTAAAAACGTATGAAAAGACGAAGAAAAACGAGTGATTTGCGCTTTAAATAAATTACACAACCAATGTTTATAAAGACATTTGTATATCAAGATTGCTGACAAATATTAATTTAACAACTATATTGTTTAATTATCGTTGTATATTTCCGGCCATTAATAATGGTCATTTATCGACGATGGGTCATTCGGTTTTTTATGAATCGAAAGTATACATGGATATAATATTTAATACGGTAGGTAAATAATATCGAGATAATAATTCGTCTTAATAATCATTTATTGACTGTATATAATATATACAGTGTCCCGTGAAGATTTACTGTTTTCGTTATCTTCTTTACGTTGATAAAATAAATATTATTTTTAAATAGTTTATACAAATCGTTTAGGATAAAAGTTAATAGAAATAAAAAAAATACGTTTAATGCATTTTTTTAAATGCCATTTGCAATATTATACAAGCTTCATTGTTTGGATTCAAATAGCAGTCAAATTTCATACCCATGAAAATAATTTCAGGTATATTATAAAAATAATGAAAAAAACCCCATAGGAATACATTTTCAATGGAAAAATATTTTAATGGGATGTATAAAACGTATTGCACGCACAGATTACATTTTTCTGTTGTATTTGATCGAAAACCACATTATAGAAATACACACACATTAAAAAAATAATAATTTGATATTTTAATAAAAATGAAATAAATTGAAAAATTAAATTTAAAATTGAAATAAAAAATATACGTATTTGTTTCGCAATGAAATAATTTTATTTATTTTTTTGTGACTAAAGTTTATAATTGTAAATGGGTTGTTTCCACCAAAAGTATTTTGTGGCATGCGTTTGCTATGTGCAATTTATACATGTTAAATAATGTCAAATCTCGTCCTGTAAATGTTTATAATATTTTTAACAAAATAAGGAATTTTTGAGTTTTAAGAGGCTTTGCCATATTTTATTCTTGACTATTAATATTGCTTAAAAGAAGTCAGGAGATTTCACTGAGTCGACTTTTTATTTTGTCTAAGTATTAAACTCGAAACATGGTGAAACCGATTGTTTTCGAGAACATTGACGATTGTTTATTTTTCTCGGTAACGTATCAATGCACAGTAATTTAATTTTAAATAAGAACAAAGAAAACAAATTAATAACAAAAACAATAAATAATACATAGCAGTAATTATGAATAATAATTCATTTTAAAAAATTAAAAAAGATGAAACATGGGATTTTTGTAATTGATTCTCACCATCTTATTCGTTTATAAAAATTTTAAAATTTGTGGAACAAAATGTAACATACAAGTTATCTTTCAAGTAATTTCCTAGTATTGGCTTCGTCTTTGATAAAATAAAATAATTATTTCCAGACATCTGTATAAATGTATTATTGTGGAGTTAACTACTAAATAACATTTTTTTGTCGTAAATTAATGAAATTTGGATGTAAAAAAAATTGCTATAAATTCGAGATATAAAATACTTATTGGATTTTTTATAGCTATTTATTGTTACGTATATAATATTATTTATTATTTTCGTAAAAAATGTATAAAAATATTAAACTACTGCAGCAGATCTGCTCATTGTGATCCATCAAACATTGTAATTAAATTATAATTTTAAAATATGTATTTTATAACGAATTTCAAATTTAATGACTTTTGATGAGCCTTAGTACATAAAGTGTCGTGACCCGTGGGTTAACCGAATTTTGATCTTAAGAAACATTCACACGAAACCGCATTAATTAAAAGATTATCTGGGCTCGTTGTAATGTTCACTTGTCATAGATTTTATACGTATGATTTATTTTAAATTAAAAAAAATTCTTCTAGTAACATTCTGGACTTTTAATGTAAGTTTCAATGATATTTATAATATATATTTATTAAAAACAAGATGTTATGAATTAGAATTTTTAAAAAATTCTCGAGAAAAATATGAATAAAAAACTAAAAAAACTACTTTAATTAAAATTATTTATTTAAAAGTGAAATAATTAAATCGAGTATAATAATAAATCATACAACCGTATGGTATCAACATTAAATATAGATTTATGGTTTTTCTGGAACCTATGTCAGATAAATAATAAATAACATGTAAATATATATTATATAATGTATAATATTATATACCTATGTATAATAAAATCATACTACCAATAAAGCAATGGCGGATTAGGTTGCAGGCTAAAAGGCTTATAGCCTAGGGCGACTTTTTTTTTTTATAGAATTCAATGTTATTATTAGGTATATTTATTTTAATATATTTTTTTTATATTTGTCATGTAAACACGAATAAAAATAATTTTAAAAAGTTATAATAATATATTAATTTGTACATTGTATGATGCGTACCTATAGACTATAGTAAGAATATTACAACTATTATTACAATTTGAAAATATTTCATTTGTAATAAAATAATTACAGTTAGTTACTAGTTATTATTAATAACTTATTAGTACCAATGTACTAACTGGGAACATTCCACTATCCAAGTATAGGTATTTTCATATCTGGTTATTTATACTTCTGTTTTGTGACTGTGTAAGCATTGTTTATTTGTACTGGTAATAATGGTATCAGAAGTCAAATAATAGACATGAAATATTTTCATTTTAGAAGTTTTCTATTTTAAAGATTTTATATTTTATACTTTTTTTTTTTAAAAAAAAAGTTGAATAAAATTTGAAGAAAAAGATTTAGACCAAACATTTTGATTCCTTAGTAGAGTGATAGGAGGGGGCAGGGTGATTAAGCCTAGGAGTGTCAAAATGCTAAATTCGCCATTGCAATAAAGTCGATAATTATAAAAATGTAAAAATCCACAACAATCTATTAACCTAACAGAAATGTTCCTCAATATAGAAAAAATACAATGAAATTGTGGTGGAATGGTTGGTCACGTAAAGTATGAAAAATAAATATCAAGGATCAAAGGTTAGCAATTTTCTAAAATAAAATGTTTGCTTTATTAATTTTTTAATTGTTTTTAAAAATATTATTTGTAATATAACAATACATAAAAATCTAAAGATATGATTGCATATCTGTGAATGTGTTGGACGTGGCCCTTGATACGTTTCAAGTTTAATATACTTTTAAATTAAATACTTTCTATAAAAATCGCATACCCGTTTTTTCTTTTTTCGTTCTAATGAGAATTGTCAACGAGTGTTGCAATGTTACAGTTATTGGATAAAAAAAAATCAGTTATTTTCAACAATTGATCACTCACGATTACATTATCGCAGTACTTATTGTTTTTTAGAATATACGAAAAATAGACATCGTTTCGCTTGTTTGCCGGATCCCCACTGTTTACATACCGTCCTGCGTCGTAGAATATAATTTTTCATTTGTACATGTTGATTGTGTTACGAAGACAGTTTTCAAGGAGTTCAGTATAGGCAATAATATTGGTGCTTGTGTGTAGTAAGTGATCATCGGTACGTGTTCATGTGCGCGACTCTCCGCCGACACCGCTCTACAACGAAAAATCGTCGAACGACAGAGGTTCGTCGCGATTGCATGAAAACGAGCAGACGCTTTTGAAACGTTAAACGACTTTTTGGCTGCTCGAAGATTTCAGTCCTGCTCAAAGATTGCACAGACGATTTTAGACGTTTTGACCGCGAGATCGTCGGTCGTGACCGATTTCCGTTGAAAAATATTCGACGCACATTGGGTTTGAAAACGATTGCTAGTCAAAACATTATAGATTTATTTTTGGAACTTTTAACGTACTCTAAAGCCGTAATGGATAACAACGAATGGCAAATGAAAAATTCAATTTGAAAAATAACGGAATTATAAATTAATCATTACAATACGCGTTACACAATAGGAGATCGGATGGCGAATTATTAGAGTTTTAAGAACGACACACGACGATTGTCGAAATCGCGTGCACTACTCCACGTAGGTACCTGCCAACCTGTGGTTCATGACTTCTCCAGTCGCCTTTATCTAAACCACGACCAACAAAAACCAACGTACTGGTCGTCACGCCACTGACGCACAGCGATCGAAACGTGACGTTACGGCATTGCCGCTTTCCTTAAAGATGCATAACCGTACAGTAATGTGTAACATTGCATATCTTGTGCAATCGGAGCCGGCGAGAACTTTTGAGGGCCCCGCGTCTGATCTGTTCCAGGCCCCCTTTACTTTTAAACTTGTTTGGCCAAGATATACACATTTCTATTACAGTCAAAATATTCAAATTTGCATCTCATGCCGCGGCAAATAAGATTATATGAACGGTTTTGTACATAATGCTGAGGCCCTCTCGGAGGTAGGGGCCCTAGGGCTCGATTGTATACGATCCATGGGGCGAAAACCAAATCAAAGCGGAAACGGTGACACGGGAACGTAACCGGCTACCATTTCCTAAGCGAGAGGGGGCGAGATAAAAGTCCGTGCCCCGGCCGTCTCGTAAGCAGTGTCCGTACATGGGCGTGGCACGTACAACACGACGTGAACGCGAACGGACGATAACGATAAGCAGCCGCCGTCACGCTGAGGTAGGGATACGTGGGCACCTATCTCCCACCTCCCGCCAGCCCGCGATCGCTTGTCGCTCGCGAAGTACCGCGGTGTAAAATTATCTCAGTAACCAACGTAAAGCCCCAGCACCGGGTTACAGCAGGTGCCATGATCGGGACGCAGTGCACGATGTTCGTCGCGTGGTCGTCACTACTCGCGGCGATGGCGACGACACTCGGTACCGGCGAGTTCCGGTTCACCGTGTTGCACACCAACGACTTGCACTCCCATTATGACGAGACTTGCGGCGGCGGCGGCGGTCCGTGCGTCGGTGGTTTTGCCCGGCTGCGCGGCGCCCTGGACGCCGAACGGGCCGAGGCGGCCGCGGACGGACGGCCGGCCATCTACTTGCACGCCGGCGACACGTTCCAGGGCACGCGGTTCTACAGCGAGCTCCGCTGGGAACCGGCCGCCGATTTCATGGGCGATCTCGGCGCGGACGCCATGGTACGTACACGCCTGCGCGCGCGGGTCGGCTCGCGTTTTCGAATTTATTTTTTTCGCCAGAACGAGTCGTAGAACTTTTCTTCCTCAACACCCCGGTCGGACGAACACCTCGAACGTATATTTACCGAACTGCCAATCAACATCATTTAACCCTATAATAGGGTATAGTTGAGCCCAACGGTAATATTTGAAAAACGTGTAGGAATCAAGAATATATCGATGGTGGAGCGCATAAGTGTGATAAATAACATTTTTTTTTGAAAAATGAGTCTAGTGTATATTCAATTTAATCATAAAATTCTGCACATTATGCACAAACGAAATTATAACATTGTTCGAGTAATTGTTGTGCTTTATTAAAATCAGAAGAAAAATGTAATGTGTTTGAGTATTACTTTTTACGTGTACAAAATGTGTTAAGTACAATATTTTTTTTTAAATTTTTTTAAGAATACAAATGTTGTAATTGCAGGTTTTTTTAATGCTCATTACTCATTATATGTTAGGGAAAATATAACAAAAATTTCATTACAGTTTGTTATATTTTTGAATTGTTATAACAGCTCAAACTAAAAAAATCATTCTCCCGAACGATTACGAAAATGTCATTTGTCACACTTGTGCACTACGCCATCGATATAACCATTTCGTAATAATAATTATCAATGAAGGTTGAACAGCAATTGATCGATTTTGTTTTGTACACATAATCGTACGTCAACGTTTCTTTCGCGATCTTTATTATCGAAATTCAAAAAACAGTTCGGTTAAGATCGATTAACAGGTACGGTTTCCACGTAAAGTACGGGCACGGGGAGGGGGGGCATTCATTTTATTTGCACACGGCTTCAAGTCGGTGTAGTTGCGGCACTGATTAAACCGTTACGGTTAAGGAAATGGATACGTGTACAATTATATAATTAATGTAATTGTTGTAATTGTTCATGTACACTTGAAGAGCGAAAAATGATCGGGAGGGTTCGAGCCCCCGGAAATGAGTGTCATCTCAATCAGCTCAAGTTCGTGTAAACAGATTCGTCGAGCGTTAAAATGTTTGCCACGCAGTAAGTTTTGTTCGAGCGCTACTCAACGTCATCGACGATTTTTCTCTGAAACAGTCGATGAGTGTTATTGTTTTGTTTTGAACATTTCATTTGTACGAGTCTCGGGTCAAAAAATGCGTAAACTCTGATGCGGATCGTTCGCGCTGGATAAATGCCAAACGTTTTCTGCATACTTTACGTGTATAAATATACTATTTACCATCTGAGTTGGATTGTCGTATGAAGAATCGGGAGACCGAAAATAAACTAGTGGTTGTCCGAAATATTATTGAACGCGATTTCTCGCACGCGGACATGTATTCATGATTATAATATTTCTGCGCCGGCTCGTTAGCTCGAAACCAGGTCGTTAAGAAACAAAAGTGTTATGCGATTTTAAATCGTTCGTAACTTTAAAAATATATAACGGCTCACCCCGTTCGAAGCGGCTTCTAGGATATGGAAACAGAGCGTTTACAATTAAATTCAACTGAAAGGATTCAAAACGCTGTGTATTTTATCAAAAAAAAAAACTTACCGGAAAAACGGTTCAATATTAGATTGTTGTCCTATCCAAAGTGAAGGATTCGAATCAAACCTGAGCGTGTCCATTCGCCTCTTTATCGTTTACACACTTTACCGTTGTATAGTACCCACACACACATAAGATATGTCTATACTGTTGACTACTAAACGCCCATTTTACAGAAAATAAATAATAGCCTTTGTCATTAATATGCACCATATCGATTTACTGTCCGTTTGGAACAACTCGACTTAGTCAACACGCTCTTCTATAATATAGTATATATTATATACTTCGTAGCCTGTTAAAAATCCTACCTCTTATTTGTCTCAAACTGTGTGTTAAATTCGTTACCTGTAGATTATGTTAGTAGTATATTTTTATACATATAGATAGATATAATTATATAAATAATAATATATATAATATATTATAATTATTATTAATATTGAAACGAATAACAACCATCTATAAACAAAAATTTTCTAATTTGCCTATCACATTTTAACTTAGCTGATTTTCAGCCCAAAAGTTTAATATATCTTTGTGCCAAAATGATTATGCAATCGGTCCGGCCGTTTAGGAATGCATAAAGGCCAAACAAACAGACGGAAATCCATTTTTATATATAAACAGAAAGATCTGTGTATATTTTAAGTACAAGTTGATTGTGCCGTATCGAACGTACGCAATCCTTATTCGTACGGTATAACAGTCCGACGGATGTATCTGCAGCGTACGAGGAAAATGATTTTCACCATCAGATCGACAATGAAATCGACCGAAACTATTATCTACTTCGCGAAGACTGAGGAAGACGTTTTTTTTTTTTTGTGGAGGAGGTGAAGTCGGATTACTCCTTCGTGTGCCGGAGGGCACGATAAATTTGAGCCTGGAACGTTTGGAAACCTTACTTAGCCGCGACACTCGACTTGGCTTGAAACCGACGGAATTACAATGGTTCGACAGACTAATAGGCCCTTCGATTCGCGTTAAAACAAATATTTCCATAATGCCTTGTACGCGAACGCCCGGAGAAACATTGAACGTCGTCGGCGCAAAAAACGCGACGGAAGTACAATCGCGTTTTGATGACATTTACGTGCACGTGTGCGTTTCACAAGGAATATTTCGATATGGAGACATGAGTCATACGTAAACTCACGCATACTTGTACGTCATGTTATTCCGTACGTTTTCCGCGTAGTTTTTTTTTTTTTTCGACGATACGTTTTATACGCGTACACCGCACGTATTGTATTTTAATGCTCGCTGAACCTATTTAGGCGAATGTCTGGTAAATATTTAAATAATGTGAATTGGACATTTTTATTTTTCCGATAATGCCGTGTAGGTATACACGATACTAATGTCATTTAGTTCCGTTCTCGTAAAATATATTATACAAAAATTAATATTAGTACCTATACCTTCTCGGCGGCTAATCGTTTTGCCGTAGGCCACAATGAAGTCCAAAGATCTTACCCGATTAAACAAAAAATAGAACATTGAACAGCAGCGAACCGGATACACGCAGACCGGATGTCGAGCACTCGTCGCGTTTAGCTCTTGTAGTCAAAACGTATTATAAGGCTGTCGTCCGTATTGTATTATTTTGTTCTCGGAAACCAGTGACCATAGCACTTGCGAAATTCATCTGAACAGAGCTTTAGTTTATTATAAATGTTTTATATAAAAAATGAATTTTAAAAAAAAAATGCATGAAAAGAAATAATAAATTTTAGATGAGTATCTGAAATAATTAGATACAATTGAAATTCCAACTTTAAATGTTTAACAGTGTACCTAATACACGAATCGAACTGTACATGCTCTTAGCGGTTTCTAAACGATTTCCAAAACCCAAAGTAATAATGCGGTTGCGTTAAAATGTCAAATTTCGTGACAAGTATTAAAATATTGAAAACAACGGTCCGCAACGATATGGTTGTTATTGATCGGTGCCAAACGAAACGTGACGGTTATAAATGTTCCAGTGCTTGGGAAATCACGAGTTTGAGGACGGCCCAGAAGGGTTGGCACCGTTTTTGAAGTCGAAAAACATCAGTTCCATACCAATGGTGTGTGCAAACATTCGCACCGAAGGCGAACCGAGTCTGGCCAACATCCGTCCATCCACGGTATTAACAGTCGGCGGCCGTACCGTAGGCGTGATTGGTTATCTGACACCCGACACCGAGGTACAACTAATATTTAATACATGATAATATAATTGTACTCGCATGTTCTACCGTGATCAAAATCTGGTTATTACCGAGAACACGGTCTTTGATCATTTTTAGGTTTTTTTTTTTGTGTACGTGTTATTATCGAAATCACAGGTTGAAAATATATTGGGTAAAATCAAATTGACCGACGAACTGCAGAGTATAAGAGCCGAGGTGACCAAGTTGAAAGGTTCCGGGGTAGAGTTCATCATAGCACTTGGTCATTCGGGTCTCGAGATGGACCGGAGAGTGGCCAGAGAAGTGGACGGCGTGGACGCAGTGGTTGGAGGACATTCGCACTCGTATCTGTTCAGCGGTGAGTTGGTACAAAATGTCGATTGCATTATTACATTTTATAATGACACTAACCGCTTTCGTGTGTTTTCTTGTAAACGAACAACGAAACACGTGTTAAGCACCTAAAACCGTGCGCGTCGATTAATTAAAATATTTTTTTTCGTCGAATCGAAAGTTTCATTTTGATTTTTAGTTGAATACAATAAACTATTATCGAACACATTTATTACTGTTATCTAAGCAAACCTGATCGGTTTAACAACGAACTACAGAGTAAAATCGCTAGTAACTTTATTAATTTAATATGTATTTAATATGTATTTTATAAAAGTTTTTTTTTTTTTTTTTATTGTAGGTAATAAATTATTCCTCTGTTTACAATTAGGGTTTGTACGACGTTAATATCGAAAGCATTTGATACCATAACGTATACCGATCCATTTACGATTTACAAACAATGACGCATTTAATATGAGCTTACGGTTCAACCAATACAACCGAACTTGGCTGCGGTACATTCTATTTTTTTCATTTAATTTCATCAGACTAGGGGCGAAAAATGTCGTTCTCGGTTACTTATTGAACACACGTTTCTGATGTACACTGTTGAGATTTAGAAAGCACGTTCGTAAATAGCTGTAATAGTCTTATCGCAACCACACACGCACGCACTACACAACTATATTGTACTCGTATACGTATTATTCGTATAATGTGTGACAAATAAGTATAGTACTTCCTATGGTACTCATTATACATTTTTTATACTATTATTATACGATAACAAGTCGATAATCATGGATCATTATACTATTAATTCCTTTTTTTTTCTTTTTTTTTTTTAAACAAAGCTTTTTGCCGTAGACACTATATTCAACTAATCGACTGTATTAATGAAACGGAATAGTAGGTTGGTATTATTAGCCTGTAAAGGATGTGTATATGCAGTTGTCTCGAGGGGACAACGAAATTATCCGAACACCAGGCGCACAGTATAATATATTATGTCTAAGAAAAGGTTATCAACCCTTATTGTACGACGACGTGCAGCTTAGGAATGAATCGCATTCCGGTAGATCACCTGTTGCGTGTGTACCTACCAGAACACATCTGGTCTTTGAATATTACCTATAAAAATTTTCCCGACCTTGTGAAAATCAAATCAAATAATCTACACTTACATATATAAATAATATTTAGAGGAAATTTAAAATATTCTACGTACCATGAAATATTATTATTAGTTATGCGCATCACCGAAAATCCGTTTATCGATAAAACTAACAAGAATTATGTAATTTTATTCATAATTAGTAGATGTTTTTATATATTAACACACATGTAGTTTTGAAAAGTAGTTGCACTAAAACGAGTACTTATTTTGATTGATTCATACGAAACTTATAGAAACAAAATTAACAATTCAATTAATTTAATAAGTTTTTTATTTTCTTGATGTTCTTCGAATAACGTTAATTTTAGTATAATTTGAAATAACTTATTACCATAACATTTTGCAATTGCATCGCTTGTTTATTTTTAAAGAATTATGATGATTTGTCCTTATCGTTTCAAGTTCAAATTATGGCACTGGAGCAGGTTTTAGAAAGTCATATTTTAGAATATTAAGATTTAAAATACCAATTTTTAGAAAATCAATGTTTTAGAATATGAAACTTTTAGAATGCAACATTTTTTGCATTTGAGTTATCAATAGTCTCGGTTCCCTTTCTTTTTAAAACATTTTTAACTTTTTACATTCAATTAATAAACTAATTTTTCATTGATTATACGATTATAAATGCTGTAAAAAATATATAAAAACCCATCTACACTTAAAATATGATGCTTTTGATGGGTTGATTTCATCAACGTTAATATAAGATTTGAAATGCTTATATTTTGCATACTGCATTAACTGTTAGTTCCGTTAATTGTATTAACGGTTTAAAAATAAAAAAAAATATATATATAAAAACATTATTTATTAACGTTAAATGAAAAATATATTATAACATGTAAGACGTACTAATGTATATAATTATTAAAAAATTATATATTGTAATCTAAAAGTTATTTTTTCTAGAACGTGGCTTTTCTGAGATTCGGTTTTCTAAAACTTGATATTCTAAAATGTGTACTCGAACCTCAAATGATATGCGTATAGTTTCAATGAATGGAATTACAAAATCAATTTCGACTTGAATAAATCGATGAACTAAAAAAAAGTCATCCTGTTCTTTTAAGGGATTCTAAATTGAACGCGCCGTCGAGTCATATGTAATAAACTTTTGACTTAAACCCTGTTATTATTCGTAGGTAAGCCGCAGGATACCGAGATCCCGGTTGGACCGTATCCAATTATGGAGAACAGAAGCGAATGCATCGTGCCTGTGGTGCAAGCGTACGCGTACGCTAAATATTTGGGAAAATTAGTTTTGACTTTTAACAGTGATAAGCGTTTGATAAGTGCTGCCGGTGGACCGATTTTATTGGACCAATCTATTCCTCCGGGTAATTTGTAATACATACCATCAACAGTCGAAAGTAGCACCGGAAATTAAATTTAAATGAAACATTTTTGTTTCAGATGCGAATACTTTGAAAAAAGTGGAATATTATAAGAGTTTGTTGGCCAAAAAACAAGTACACGAAATCGTAGGGAAAACAAAGGTATTTTTAGATGGTAACTGTAGGTGTTCGGAGACAAATCTGTGCGACATGATTCCTGATTCTTTTATACGTTTTGTAAGTTTATTAGATATTTCATAAATCCCAGACAAGTTTGATAAGTGTTCAAATAATCTGCAGTAACTCAATTTATATATTTGAATCACTGCCATATTCGTTAGGAATTTCATAATACCTCAATTATTTGTTTAAAAAACAAAATAACTATTAATAATAACTAATAACTCATTACTCGTAAAAGAAAATTGTTATTGTTCGTATTTATTTTATGTTCATCACTGTACAACGTACGTGTAAAAATGTAAAAGAAGTACAAATTAAAACATACGCTAGAAAAGGAAAAAAATTAACGTTAAGCCGTTTTGAAAAAACTTTTCAGTGAAAACTTTACTATTACTCGTATTATAATAATTTTTTATTAGTACATCACTAGAGTAGAAATATTATTATTTTTATTAATACCAAAGCTTTTGTGACTAACGGTTATTAATTAATTTATTATTATTATTTATTAATTAAACTAGTATAAACCCTTGGGAAACATCCAGTATCCACGAAGTAATCATATAAATGTAAATACAATGGTTATGTTAAGTTAAATTATTGAAATACCTACTAGTATTTGCGTTTGGACATTTTCACTTCAATTTTGCATATATTAACTAACTCATTTTACTTTGAAATATACTAAAATGAGCCAAATTGTTTTGATGATTCTTTATTTCACTTGGACAAGGGATCGCTTCGTAATATATCGATATATATCGATTATACCGTAATTTTATTGAGTATTCTTGACTTATAAAAACATTAAAAGTTTTTGTTTATACTGATTGTAAAATATTTATATAAAAAAAAGGAAATTCGTGTATCATCGTGTAGTTATTTCAACGATGGCATTAAAAAAAAAAAAAAAATTATTGAATATTTTAAAATAATTTTAACCATAATGCATACTAATTATCGATATTGTTAAACAAATATAAAAATTAAAACCAATAATTATTATGTTATTCATGATAAGTATTAATCTACTCCAAAATTTTATTGTTTTTTTTCTGATTCACAAAAAGAAAAATATGTTTTTTATTTAGAATGTCAACCATTTATTGAAAAACAACGTGACCTTAATCGGTTGGACCGACGCTGCGATAGCAATAACTACTAGTAGCAGTATTCAAAGTTCAATAAATGCTTCTGAAACTCAAGGTAAAAATAAATATGTTTCAAATAAAAACCATTATAATTTTTTTTTTTTTTTGTAATTAAGTATATAGTTGTAATGTGTATACCTGCCACACACTAGATATTATATAATTACCAATAATAATAAAAAATATATATGTAAACCACTACAGAGCTTATAATAAATTAAATATCATTATCTAAAAAAAAATAATAATGATATTTAATTTGAAATCTAGACTATTTTTTTCTTTTTTTTACGGAGTAACTATATAAAATAATGTTCACGAAACGCTTTAAATCTGTTTAATAACAGTTAAGTAAAATATGAATAATATTTCAAGTGTTCGAAATATGATCCCGACGAACATACAAAAATTCCAGTATAAGAGATATTTAATTGAAAAACATTAGTTGAATTATTCTGTATGTAAACGGATGCTTATAGAAATAGTTCTGCGAATGCATAATGCATAATGCATAACATAAGTGTAGAGAAATACTAAATAAATTCAATTTCTAGTTAAAAATTACTCTTGGTTTATTGGCATTTAACATTAGTGGCGATAAATATTTGTCTTTCAGTATCTTGAAATTGTAGAAACTGTGCACTTTGATTTACGAGTTCACGGTTGTTTTCTATTTATTTACCGATAGGAATAGGTCCATTTTCGGCCAACTTTGTAGCAAAATATTAAAGTATCATTCCTAAAATACTTAAAAAAGAACTTGGTTCAACAGTCTAAATTTATCCAGAACATCAATAACTCAGTATAACCGTCACTAAGGTGGTCATTATTTACTCCCGTCTCATTCCTACGAACTTTCCTTAATGATTCTTCTGTACAAAACATTCAGAAGAAATAATGTGTGACCTTTTTCATATTATTTTCACCTTTCCTGCCTTGTCCTCCAATCATTCACTCCTCTTAAATTTTTTGTTAAAATCTCATAATATTAAATTATCTCTTCCCTCTATTCTTAATACCAAATCCGAAACCGTCGAATGCCAAATACTATATTTTATCCTTGAGACTGGTCTGCCCATATAACAACATTTTATTTTTGTAATTCTATAATTCTTATATGTTATAAATCTTTTCAGCTGTTAAACTTAATGATATTTAGTTGTACTATCATTTTTAGAATTGTTGAAATAAATTGTATAACTACAACGTTCCAATAAAAAAATATAAAAAGTCCATTTTCATAAGATTTTCATGCGATTTCTTAAATAAAAAATGTTTATTGTTCTTCATAATCCCGTATACTGACTTAATAACCGAGAATTCATAAATAATACGAATGTATCAAACCGATAGCGATACAGTAGGTATATGCACACTTCTCATTCGTATCGGATGTTATATACTTCAGATGTACATATATTTCTTAATGTTGTAATTGATTGCGGTTGTTTATTGATTGGTTACAGGAGATTTTTACAGGTTCGATGTTGAACGGACATTACCTTACAAAACCCCTTTGTTCAAAGTGATCATAACTGGAAGAACGATAATAAAAGCACTGGAGCACAGTGCTAGCAGTCACGATTATAAAAATTGTGCCCGTCCAGAACACAACATATACGGAAATTTCATTCATATGTCAGGTAAGGAATATAAATCGTAATACGTATGTGTTTATTACATCGAAATTAATGCGGCTATTTTCAAAAGCATGAAGTGTGGCTTTCAGATATTTCTCAATAAGTGAAATATAATTAAAATGTATTTTACCTGTTAAAAAATATCGGCAAACCTATCACACGCACACACGCATACTCACAAGTAAATCAATAATTCAAAGGGTAAATATTAAAGCTTTTGGATCTAATTAAGAAAATAATGCAATAATTAGAATAATTGTGTTACTCATTGACTGAATTTTTGTTTGTTCGGTTGTACACTCAATAAATTTACGATTTCTATGCGATTTCGATGAATGAAGTATAAAACATATTTGTAAAGAGGTTTGAGTTGATAAACAAGTTTACTTTGCATCGGTCGGAGCACTTTTTCAATTTTAACAAATGCTTGACGAGAATAAATATTTTACATTTTAAAAAATTTGTACATTTTTAATATTGAATATATTAAAAAATATCTAAAATATAAAAAATATGCTCCGACCGATGCAAAGTAGACTTGTTGACCAATTCAAACATCTTTACATTTTTTAAATCGAACCACTAAAAGTACTTTAATTTTTGTCAATCGCTAAGGTCGTTTTGATGAAAAATTAATAGGGTTTGCAGGGGCCTTAAGCGTTAATAAATAAAATATTTGACAAACTTCGAAATTATTTTGTAGTGATTCTTATCTACATTATTCTCGCGGCGTTTTCCGTAGCTTTAATGAAACAGTGCAAATACATTTGTGATTCGCTGTAAGTGTTGTTGACAACAATCGGTAAATCCAATTATCTAATTTCAAAGTCTAGCCATATTTACTAGAAACGATGCAAACAAAACCACGGAATAAGTCACCGGTTATATTTAAATATGATACTGGAAATTTGTATTAACTCGTTATGGGAAAACATATATCAAGAAAAAATATTTAAATGATAAATGCATTATAAAATCTATAGAAAAGATCATCGACTGTCATAAAACGTAAAAAACCTTGAAATATGCGAGAGTGAAACGATCTTTTTGTCACGCAAGACGTTTCGAATGTCACCTGAGCGAGAAATACGATACGGGACCAGTGCCGAATTTATTTCACGGTAGTCTAGAGTATAACCGATGATCGGAAACTTTCTCAGAAAAAAAATTAACACGTTTTAAAACGAAATAATTACAATATGAAAGAGTTAAAGGACATCCATTGAACAATTTCTGTATTTTGTTTAACATTTCTATAAAATATGTTGAATCGTTATTCAATAGTTGTTCATCAAATGTTTTTGATATACTACACAAACATAATGTATGAACTTGTGCCTGCGTCTGAGACTTCTAAAAAAAATAAACCTTAGTCTTGAGGCCCCAGTGCATTACACCCCTCCCCCGCATACTTTACAACTACATGCAGCACTGTACGGAACTGAAAAATTATTTCAGGGATGCATGTCACTTACAACATGAAAATGGGCCCGGGCTCACGAGTGCAGTCCGTGGACGTGCGATGCGCGGAATGCAAAGTACCGATGTACGAGCCAATCGATCCGGACAAACAGTATTCAGTGTTACTGTCAAAATACATAGCTGGCGGCGGCGACCAGTTCAAAATGATCCAAGAAGGAATAATCAAATCGACCGATCTCGGTGAGTATTTGAACGACGAGACCTAGGATTCTATTGTTTGTCCTTTAAGCACCGAGGGGTCCCGATAACGCGTACGTGGTAACATATTAATAACGAGTTATGCATGAACCGATTCATTTATGGCCGGTTCGGCTGCACGAGCCAGTATGTTGTATTAAATAATATACAGTCGAAACACTCTGCACAAAAAATTTTACGTTTACGGAACCATATAATTTTCGTTAAAAAACGTCTTTGTTCAACGAATTAGTTTTATAACATTATTTTATGACTGTGAAATAATATCCGTGTTTCGGAGCTTTCAAAGTCATGGCAAAATAAAGTTTCGGGAACAACCTACTGCTTTCGACAATATTCGTGATGGATTTCAACCAATATCGGATTAATGAATATGCTGCCTTGGGGCAGATTTTGAAATTCCGCCCTTCACTCATTGTACCGATATACCCATCATGAAATATTATAAATAACAACAGCGTTAAAATTGTTTAATTTATTGATTTTTATAAACATTTCGTAACATCGGTAGTTTTATTATAATAGAACTAGTAGTATTTACTATAAAAACTCGGCACCACTTAACCTTATGGGCTTTCCATTCATACTAATTGAAGAAAACCGCTGTTAGGAAATATTAAGCTCGTTTGTTTTCAATTTTACTCGAAGAAACTATGACTTCGGTATACAAGACTTTGAAATACTAATAGACAATGGAATAATAAAACAAATTGCTTGGTAGTGTACAAATAAATCATTAAAAATTTAATATAACTTTTAAATATCAAATTTAATAATTCGATGGTTATAAATTATAATACAGCCATACGAGTATACGAAAAACACGATTATGTATCAGTATGTTTACTGCTGTAAACATATTATATACAATTTATGCTCGAAAATAATGCGATAATACTAACGAAAACAGACAATTCCGAACAATATACATGGTCATATTAATAATACCCTGAACGCTTATTTATATGATTATTTTGCGATAGGCGATGTAATAATACGAGTATATCACTATTATTATTTTTTTATACATTGTTCTTCAATTATTAATAATTCTTACTAATACATTAGAAAACTTCAAAAATTTCTTTTTTGCCGTCAAGAAATTGCCGTCCCTAAAAAACAACTAAAATTATTTAATTAACTGGTAAAATTTTTAGGTAACAAATAATAACAATATTTTTTTTTTTTGATCAATCCGAAGATTGGATAAATGATTATTGATGTTTCTCTTCACTTATCTCTGTCAATTATAATCCTTTTCATCTCCCAGTATAATTCCTATGCCGTTATCTTCCATCACTTGCTTCAGAAATGGGGTTCTGGGCCTTCCTCTTCCAGGTTTTTCTTCGATTTTTCCCTTTATTACTGTAGTTATCCAAGGACTATTCCTTATTACGTGTCCGATCCATACTTTCTTTCTTAGTCTTAGCGTATTCCATATTGATTTTTGGGTATTCATTCTCCTGAAAACTTCATCATTTTTTATCTTTTCCATACATGAAATGTTTAGCGCTTAATAATAATAATACCAGTAATAATAACGATTAATCGGTACAAATGTAGTTAAACGCGATACAAGAGATATAAGACAATTATTACTTTACAGAAAATAATAAAACGAAGGTTAATTTTCATACGTATGTATGATGTACACATCATAACTATACTAACATGATTGTATTAAATATATTACATTTTCATAAATTTTTATGTAATTCTTTTTAATAAAACTTTATTTCACAATTTTCTTTTCCAAATAACCATCAAGCTCGTTAAATAGAGATTAGACTGTATTGTGTTGTGGACTTGTTGATTGCACGCGTACGCTAGTCGAGATTCGTGGGTAAAATGTATAATTATAATATAAATAGGTTGTTTCACACATGGAAATGGAATTTAATAATCCGATTAATACAAAAAAATAAAATATAATATAATATAATAAAATATAATAAATATAATATAATTCGATTTCGATGATACATCTCAAAAAATTGCCAACAATATGCACTTAAATTCTTTTTTTGTTTCTAAAAAAAAAAAAAACGTGGTGACGAAAAAATTAATAATGAAAATACATTAAGATTTCATCTCAATATGTCTTCATGTACTTATATGCTTGATTATACTTCTTAAACCGGCATTTTCAATACTCAACTTATTTCAACAATTAAATTGGACATTCATAATAATATTAATTTTATTGTACTTCTAGTGAATTTTAAGTAAGCGCTGAGTAATAAACTTTTACGATCCCTTAAGAAACATGTACTGTTCCAAGTTTCACTGCAAAATATAATTATCATTTCAAAATTAAAATAGTGTTTTAAAAATTTGTTCCTGTTTGTCGAATACCGCCAGAACTCGAGTTACAATTAACTCGTATTCATTTGATCCGTAAATTAAATAACTAAAAAAGAACAAACATTAACATACAACTGAAATAATTATTAAAATACAAATGTTGTTTGTTTTGTTTTTAATTAATTTAGTTATGAAAAAACAAGAATAATGAAATTAATAATCATTGTTTTCTAATTTTTATTCAAATAAACAAAAATGTATTTTTGTCTCAAGTATTATTAAAATCTGTTTAAAAATGAACTCAGTTTCTAATTGTTACAAACTAAATACGTTTATAATAATTTATACTTTGAACGTTTGAAATTTCGTAAAAAAAAAAATTATGATAACTAATTAAGATGACGAGATTTGAATATATCTAATTTAATACGAGGATCGATGAGAATCACTGAGAAGTTAATAATTTACCAATGGGAGTAACCAACTTCTTTGGTAGTTGCTTTTGATTAGGTTTTCTTAATTCAAGTCAATGCCGTCGAAAAATTGCACTTTTTCAGATTCAAATAACGTAATTAATATTTACAAAACATCAATTTCGCCCCAGGTATAATTTAAGAATACAACGCATAGTGAAACGTATTGGTCGTCATAACGATTCCAGTCCAATATTTAAAAATATTAAATCAATATTATTATATTTCCGAGCTAATTCGTACTGATCGCAATATTACTATGTGTTCCGTTTTTAGGTATTACAGAATTGGAAGCCTTCTTGGACTATGTTAAAGAAATAAGACCAATTTACGCTGGAATTGAGAACAGAGTAAAAATATTGAAATAAACACTCATCAAAAGATGTTCGTTCGAACTTGACTGTAAACAATACGGTGTATGGGGGGAGGATATCTATTATTCAATTTTTTGGCCGTTTGAATTAATATATTAATAAATGCGATATGATTCGATGTACAATATTTGCATTCATACACACACACAACTTAACCATACAAATATTAAACGTACTATTGTCGTTGCATTTCGTGTTCATTTTTTTTATGAGCAATCGAACGATACAGTTGAGTGTTCTGCGCAAACCCTGTTATAATGGTGGAATAACGCGACGTGCAGATACGTTCAACGAGCTGCTAGACATGGCACCAAAGAAGGGCAAAGGGAGGGGGGCTTTATCCCCTCAGGAAAATAGTTTAGCCCCCTCACCAGCCCCCTCCCCCACTGAAAAATATGTTTGATACAATAAAGTCATAAAACATTAGTTTTAAAAGAGTGACATCAAAAAATTTATGAAATATACTTTTTAAAATTTTTTTAAGTTTTTAGTTTTTATTTTTTTTTTTTTTACTTATTTACTTATTACCATTTGTTCGTTTTCATCTGATTGCGGTTGTATGTCACGAAAATAATAATAGCTATATTATGTTATACTATACGAAAATATTTGTATTTTATTTAAACAACCTCAGTATTTGTTGAAAAAATCTTAAAAAAATATTTGCCCCACAATGCCCCACTGGAAAAAAATTCTAGTACCGTGCCCTGCAAGTTGCAACAGTGACGAAGGGTTCGACGTTATAAAATAATATCCCACGCCGTCAACGATCCCGTGTTTGTTTTAGTCCGACGGTGGCGTTACAACGCTGTCGCGGGGCGGGTGGAAACGTCTCCCGGACGCGCGTTTCCGAAATCTCAAAAATGTGCATGAATGTTTCACGCACTGGGCGTTACGACAATCGATACCCAACGGCGCCCGAACGCTAAGCCCGACTTGTGCGACAACCCGTGTCAGGAGCATATTTTAGGGGTGGTCGCCTTCTCCCTGAATCTGTATTTAAGAAATCGATTATATGTGAGATACACATTTCAATTTTTTTTAATGTGTATCATTTTATAACAAAATCTAACTACGCGTGGCTGTGAATACTGAGTTTTGTCCAAACTTAGTGAAAAATAAAATAAAACAAGCATAACTTTCAAAACACAGACAGGTGTTAATAAAGAACTACACAGAAATCGATTCTAAATAGATCCGGCATTAGAATAAAAAAAGAAAAATCACAAATATTAAGGATTCACCTGATTTAAATATTACCAAAAATGTTACTTGTACATTTTGAGCCTGAATTGTAGAAAAAAATTTGAGTTCTCCCCCCCCCCCCTCTTAGAAGTGAATCTAAATACGCCCCTGACCAGTGCACGTGCGCGGCTCAGGTGCGAACCATCGACCCGCGGTCGTACTTGAACGATGTACGCTTACCAACGTATGTATTGGCCATCGGGTCCGATTATGAACGGCCAACGTGTGCAATAAACGGTCATACGTCGAACAGTTACCGTAGAAGAGGGTAGTCCGACCATGGCCCTCGAAACCTTTTTTTTTAGCCCTCCTCCGTAGAAAATTTATACTAAAAAAAAAAATCACAATAACTTTGTTACAAAATCGTTACATGATTGTATACCTTTTATGTTTTTCACTCTATGAAACGTAGATATACGTGCAATGAGTAACTTTCAAAACTGCGATTAAATTCAGCTTACCACGTACGTACGTACGTACGTAGGCATCGTGTTTTTTTAGCGGCCACAGTGAATCCGATTTCTTGTGATGGGAGATCGTGGAAGTTATTGTTGTTGTTATAGTCATTGTTGACTTACTTACGATTACTTTTCTTTTTTTTATTTCTTTTTCCTGGTGACCCTTAATGTTTTTATGAGAGTTTAGATTGGCCCGCCAACTACAAAAGGCTAGACCACCCTACCGTAGAAAACGGAATCCGATCGAACGAATTACGTGCGTAATAAAGTTTGCGTTGCTTATCCGTTGAAAACACGTGTGCCCGCGTAAACAATTGGGGAACTGAAGATATCGACGGATACTTCATAGCGGGTAAAAAATAACGTTAACCGTGTACAATGCGTAAAGGGGGAGGGAGAGTGTACAAGGGTCGTTGCCTCTCTCTCTCGTGGCTCTTAAAAAAACTTCCTGTTTAGCGCTGTTGCCCACGTCAAAAACAAAAATAACAAATCATATATATTTACAGGAAAATGTTCGAGAAAAATTTGTTTTATCCTAGTTTGCGCAGCCGATCGTTTGATTCGAGAAAAAGTCGTCCACGAACGATAACCAACTCGTATCGAATTATTAATTAATTTCTAACATTACGAGCATTATGCACGCGTTACCGCGTGTAACCGAACAGCAATCGTAAAACGGTTAGAAACGGTACCGGGATGGTTTCGTAGTCGGCCTGGGTTTTTTTTTTTTCGTCACTCGCAGCCAACACAACAGACGCGCACAGCACTCGTGGACTCGAAGAGCCCGTTCGCGTAAACGGATACGTACGAATTGATTTCCGGGTCATCAAAAGTTATGTACAAGTTGATTCCTAGGTTATTAAACATTTTTTTTTCAATATTTATTCAAATATTTAGCCTATTGGCGTAACCCAAGAAACACCACGAAGAGAATGGCTGACAAGTTACTCAAAAATGTTATTCTTTTTAGTTTCTTTTCTTCATATTTTGAAAATCATTCTATTCTTATTTATTGTATTATATTATATTTAAGATTTATAAAAAAAAAAAAAAAAAAAAAATTATTAGTAAAACTATTTAGTAGGTAAACGATTATTATTAAAAAAATTTAGTTATTAGGTAATTTTTTCTCGTAAATTCGCGCGTGTTTTGGTGAACGTGAGCGCGCGCGTTGTGTGACGGTCGAACTCTTCACGGTCGTTTGATATGCAACAATAGGGAATCAATTAATAATGACTAATAATCGGGGGAATCGATTAATACATAAAGTAGGTATCGGGAATTAACTCACCGCACGCGCGCGCGTATACGTTTGACAACACGTTTTGTACGCGATCGGTCGGAAGTTTCTCCGCACCCGTATTTGCAGTAAATATTTAATAACCATATGAATCGTCGCCGAACAATATTTCGTACGGTTTTCGTCGCCCGCGGTTACGAACACCTGCGCACGGATACGACGCAACGTGTTTGCGTCGCGGGCACGAGCCGCACAGCCTGCCAACTCCACGTACGGTTCCGCGTCCACCGACGACGCGGTTGACGTACGGTGTTTCGTCCAGACTGTAGAGTAATAATACGGTCCAGGCACCGAAAATCCATTCACTCCAGCCGTGTCCGGACGGATTCCGGACGTGTTGTGGCCACCGGACGAGGATCGGAAAGAGAGACGAGCGCGGGCCAACGTCGGAATAATACCGGAAAACGGCCGTTCGCGTCATCAGCAACGACCAATCGTTTTCAATCGTCGAGACGGCCGGACGAACGTTTATAATGTGCGTTCGTCTTGCTTTTCCGTCTCCGGTTCAACTCGGTCGGTGATTTCGCGCGCAGCTCCGGGTTTGGACGGAAAATGTTGATCCGGTCGGAAGACTGCGTCAAAAAATTAAACTTTTTCCAAAAGTCGATATGTAAACTGCGGCGAGAAAAAAATTTAATTTAAATTTAATTTTATTATACGATCTGCCGCAATTCATTTTGTATACCTACGATAATATATATAAATACCTATGTACGTATATATTGTAATTATGTTATTTTGCGTCTTGCGTACAAAACGGTAAGGTAAGTCCAAACGTATTTCTAAGTTTTAACCGAACATATTAAACATCGGTTCCTTTACTTTTGATAATACCACTTAGTTAGGGTGACCATATTTATGAAAGAAAAAAAACGGGACAAATATGTTCTCAAAAAAAAGACAACATTTTTTTTAACTTCAATATTATATGCAATAAAAATAATTTTTAATTAGTTTGATATTTTAATTAAAAATTGATTTTCATTCTATTATTGCTGTGAGATTGAAAAAAAATTACTTAAAATATTCTTTATTTTTATTGAGTTGATTATTTAGAATTATTTGAGTCGATTGTTCATAATTTTCTTCGTTACATTCTTTGACATTATATTTTTTTGATGAACTGATTGATTGCATTTAATAGTTTTGGTTGTGTTAACAATAAATCATAAAAATCATTACAGGAATATTTTTTAAAATTATTTTTAAGAATTATTATTGCTTTGACAATTGGTACGAGAAAACTATTTTTTTCGTCCGTCCATATAATATTTGTGATTGATAATATTATTTCTATTATTGCATAAGTTAATCTGCAAAGGTACAGTAAACGTATATTTCTTTTTAGGCATTTAAAAAAAAAAATACAAGTGATAACACTAATGACTCACAATAATGTTCGATTTTTCGATTAATATACCTAATATACCTATTATACCGAATATCGTTGATTATAAATAGTACTGTACATTAGTAAACTATTCGTATTTAATATCGATTTCTTTAGGAGTCTCACACATGAGTTCGTAGTACATACATATAGGTATACTATATGACATGTCTTATTTTTTTTTTCTTTTGCTCTCGGTTTACAATTTTTATAGAAGTAACGTGATTAAAACGGGACCCTTTTCTAAAAACGGGACAAAAAGCGTCCCATTCAAAGTTTGTCGGGACAACGGGACATAATGATAAAAAAAGGGACAATCCCGTTTTAAACGGGACGTATGGTCATCCTACACTTAGTACCTGCTTACTAGTGTTAGATGTCAGTAAAAGTAGTTAAAAGTTTAACATTTAATTTAACGCGATAAAACTCACAACCAGAACGGCAAACAATTAACAGTATCGAACGGTTTTAAATTCAAATTAAAATAAGAACCGAAAACAAGCGGAGATAAACGTAGCGTAATTAAACGATACACAGGTACATGTTACGTACTGTATAGTGTATATTATATCGTAAATGTATACATCAGATCCATATCGAGCCATTTTTATCCTGAATTAAAATTGAAGCAATGTTCCCCCTAAGTTGTAGGGTTGTCACTCACAGCTTTTAATATGTATAATACGATTCGGAAAAATCTGAAAATTTTTTATTAGGTTTCTAGCAAAATAAGAAATAACATTTCTTAAAATAAGTCAATTATTACTTGATTAATATAATATAATAATAATTAATT